TTTGTGATAAGCTATATAAGTAGCTGTTGCCAACGTCGTATGAGGTTTCTTGGAACTTATCTAAATGCCAAATTCATTTCAATAGTTATTATTGTTGCTACTCGGCCGTTGAATCTTATTGTAAATGAAATTTATGAACATCCGCTTCACGGACTTGTCGCTTTCTCATTTCCTGCTATATAGTTGACTCTACTATATATTATACGGAATTGCCAGCGCCAGCGAAAGTTCTGGCAATGCCGAATCTAACCTGGTGTTGCTCGGGTCGGTTTCTGGAAGGTTTCCATTACAACAGAGAAGTTGACGCCCAAGAATTACCTGAAACATATGATTCCAATAATAGGTAGCTACTAGACGACTTGAATGATTCAACAATGGAGGCACACAATAGTTTGCTTCCTTGCAACGATCCAACACAAATGGTGGACTCTTTTGTCTGCTTTTAGGAATTGCGCACCTGTGCCTTCTTTCCATAGGGTACAAAATGAAATCCAAAATCAAATTAATAAGATCCAAAGTCATATATAACATTGCATTTATTTCAAAAAGTCAAGGGCTAAGAAATATGGAAATAGTTATAAAGAAATCATATTGAAATATGTTTTATTGACTTATTAATGCCTAACATTCAGAATTCGACGTCGTTTCTAGCTTTCGATATATCAAAGCACCTGCTGTGTTTCACTTTTTGTTGATTTTGTTGAGTCCAATAAATGAACTGGCATCTTGCGAAGTGCAAAAAAATGTGTCCTATTAATGGGCACGAAACCATCCATGTTTAGTAAGGCTCTTCTTGCCATAATTGTGCTTGTATTTGCTCCGGGCCCGCTCAAAATGTTGCTTGACCTCAATACGTAAGTCTACATACTCATCGTTGACCTGTAAATTTAGCTCTACTGCGTTGATGTGTGTAGGTGCGATTTAATTTCTTCTTATACTTAAATCATCTAACCATCTGTTGTCGTTGCAGGTGCCGTTAAAGCTAAGTCACCCGACAAGCATTTCTGAGGATCATCACAACGTTGCTTTTGGAGATATTCTTGCAAGTTTCTTCATCGAACTTTACATATGGATATCGCAGCGACAGCTGACCCTAATACATAAGATTGGCGTCCCTGAAATCTCATTATCAAACTCTGATTTATAATCAGTAATAAGTATTTTTATCATGATGCTTGGCTAACCACTTCCACTTAAATTAATATGAGCTTAAGTTTATGATCTTCCATCGAACTATACCCCATTTAGCCACTTATACTATTGAAAATGTACCATTGGAAGAAGAATACCTTTGCGAACATTTTGACTCCAAATTAACTTCAATCTTCACATCTCCACAACTGTATTCATTAAACGTTGATGCAAGGATTCTAATGATCCTTATACATCTAATCCTTTGTAAATTATAGAAAGCATGACAATAAAACTACACTTTCTAACTTAAGTAACTTTAATAACGTTTCAGACCATATCTGGCCGTGAGTCAGGCTATAGTTGGCCGGATGGTAAATAAAATTCCCCTAATGGAGGTGTTATATTAATGCTGCTAGAGTATTTCTGAAACTTTCTTATCTTGACTGTATAAATTTTCAATTATTGTTGCATGCTCTGTCGTTGACGTATTAATTAATAATAAATAACAACAATGCCTTTTCCTTTCTCTTTTCCTTTTTATAAAACGACTTCAATATTTCATTCGACTTCAATATACCATTTGTATATGTACATTCCGATTGATTTAATGAAGAAAAGGAGGTATGACAGAGCCCATGTATAGTACATACTTTATATATTTTCTTTTACAAATTTTAGCTGTTTAATTATTTAAATTTAATTATAATGTAACTAAGTATGTAATAGTTACACACAAAATTTTTTATTTGGTCAGAATATCTTTAAGATGACCAACTTGACCAAGTAGAGTCTGAATATAATGAAATTTCAGGGACTCCAATCTTCGAAGGACATAATCCTTATATCAATGAATGCTTCTAAGTATTGTGGTCAGTTGTCGTTACTTTATCAATATATAAACATGCAGGTAAAAATCGAAGAGTGCTTACGAGGATCGTTGCGATATTGTACATATTGACTGTGAGAACGCTTGTCGGGTGACAGATTATTCCCAAAAATAGTGGAACCCTAAATACTTTGAATAAGATCAAGCTTATGAATGTGCAAATTACTAAAAAAAAACTAATTTAATTTATATTTCCATATTTCCTCTAAGTTGACTACATGTACGTTATTTTAAATTTTTATACTCTGTACATGAAATGTAGAAGAGTATATTAGGTTTGCGGGAGCTGAAAATGTAACAGGCAGAAGGAGGCGTGGCAGGCGCTGCTCAAGCGCTGCCCGCGGCTGTTGTTGATGCTGGTGCTTTGGTTGACTGCGAACATGCTTACACAGACACGAATATACGAGCATAAACATACATACACTCACATAGAGGCAATTGCTTTATATATGTGCAATTATACACCCTTTACGTGAGTTCGAATACCAAAAGAGGTAAAATCGATCTAATTTTTTTTTATGTTCTTAATTGTTTTTAATTTCTATAATTATTGTAAACATGTGTACAGAGTATTTCAAAGTCGGGACACCCGACTTTAGCTTTTTTACGTGATTTGTAAGTGCTTACTCATATTTAATAAATTAATAATTATTGGAATTTAATTGACATGTAAATTTTTAATTTAGCTTGTCAAAAGACGAATCAAATTGGAGATTATTAGTTCTTAAATAAAGAAATTAGATCATAAATATTTCCCCATTAGATAGCTTTGTGTACTCATGTGATTCACATTACCTAAATGTGGCATTTCCAAAGTTGCTGTCTCGGAAAAGTGTTTATATTGTAGTTTTAGCTCCATTTGAGAAAGAAAAAAATTAGTTGTGGGCCACTCGTCAGATGTTGCTGCAAATGCAGTTCCTGCCTTTTTAAGAACAGCGGCGCTGATGAGTGCCAATCTATCAGAGCGCTGAGCAAGTAACTCAATGTCGGCTTTCCCCACGCCTCCTTACTTGACTTCTCGCTCCGCTTATTCGTCTGTATGTGTTGCACGACTTCATTTGCGAGGCAGAAGATATTGCCTGACAGCCTCTTGAAATGCACTTTGATGCACCGTGGCAGTAGAGCTGTGCGGCGGTGTGGCTATGTGGCAGGAGCAACAGAGCTCGCTTAGTATTCAGCTCAGGGCAGACAGGTCGCGGCACGCTAAGCATTTCGGGGGCCGGCAGCTGCAGCAGCGATGTTAGCATTCACGTTTAAGTAAATAAAATTAATCATACGCACAGCGGTGCCGCAGGTGAAGGGCGGCTGCCACCAGACATGCATCAAACAGCGCGTGCAGAAATTGGAAAATTGAAAATTCATTGTGTTATTGGTGGTGGTCGGGTGCTGGGGTGGTGGCAGAGGGGGAGGTGGTGGTACGCGCTGTTGGCGTAAACTCTTAAGTCCGTCGTTTGTGAATTGTGCGCGTGCAAAATGAAATGAATTATTTGCGTGTGTGTCAGTTGTGTGACTACGTTATTGAGAGAGACGAAACGGATTTTTGCCACTACTGTAATTTCCTGAGTACTTGTCTGCGAATATTATTAAAGTTATCTTGACCACTATGTGGCCAAGATTTCGATTGAAATATCAATCGGAAGGTGCTTCTTGGAATTCCTTTAAAATAAATAAAACCAATATGTTTGCCATTGACATACCTTCGGCTGATAACGTGTCGATTTATCTATATTAAGTTTGTAAATAAATCATTTGTTGATAAAGACAAGTCAGCTCTTAAGTATTGCCAAGTCATACAAAAAATGTATTTTTCACGGGATTCACGATATGCAGCTAAAATTGACAAACTTATGTTAAAGCCTATTGCATGAATCAATTTCCGGGATATTTTCCGAGTGTAAAACAGTCAATAAAACAAACAAAAATGCTAGAGTCAAGCCTGCCGAACTTTTCGATATCCGGTCCATACAGAGTTAAGTCATATCGGCAACAACAAATCGTATATTGCTGGCAGAGCTTGGGCACATATACATTTATGGGTATAATTTCCTTAAGAATTAATGGCACATAATTACTGAACGGATGCAAAGTTTGGTAAAGAAATCCAAGGAAAATTAGCTAGATTAGGTTTTTGCAAAATAAAAAATGTAACATACTAAAGGAGGCGTGGCAGACCCAACAAAATAAATTATTTTTTATTTTATTTATTAATTATATTTATGTCAAAAAAAAAAAAATTCACTGTCGGGAAATTATATATAAAGATTATAAAAAAATCTTTACAAAGTAGGAAAGATTAAGGAGAAATGTGATCAAATTACAATAGTATCTAATAAGCGTTGTTTGCCTTTCGGCTAGCTAAGCCCGTCTTACTGCCAAGTGTGGACAGAGGCGGCAACAGATCTACCAATATAAAAATAAAAAGCCTAACAGAGAGAAGAAGCTTAGAATTAGTTGTTAATTGGGGGGAAGATTTATTAGCCACTCCGGCAGGACAACATAAATCGATGGAGGTATGTCTGTCCATCACACATATGCTTTATTCATATAAAATCATTTTTATTACAATTTTGCATATTGCTTTTTCAAACCGTTTGTGTATTTTTTAAAATGAAACAAGTATTCTAGACATAAGTACAGGGTATTTCAAAGTTGGGACGCGCGACCTTACATTTTCTACTTGTTTATAACTTAATCTGCGTACTTTGTACGATAACATTTAACAATTTCTTTAAGTTTAAATAACATAGTGGGCGGCGGCATGGAAATTGTTATTAAAAGTCTTAGAATTTAACAATTGTTTTTATAACTTTGATAACAAATTGAATAAAAAAAGCATACGAATATGTGTACTGCTATACTGATATTTTTAGTTTATATGTGGACTGTCGATCTATTTCCGGCCAATTATCAAAATCTTTTCGTATAAAAATGCGCACCTTTTCAATAGCTGCCTCAGTGTCGAAGGCGCAGACCCTAAAGCTGTTACCGAATATTAATATACATTACTTAAACATTTTATTCAAATGAAAATGCATCAATGTTGCTATTTGTTTGCCTTATTGGCATGTTTGCTGGCCAGCGCCAGCGCAAGTTCCAGCTTACCCATTGGCGACTCCAAGCTGTTGCAGCTCATGCGCGCCACTCGCAGCGCTCAGCAGACTGATCCTCAGCGATCTCTGGACTGTTTCCATTACTACAGTGAGCTGTTCGAAGGGTACTTGCAGATATACGAGACTGAATTTGCACAGTGTGAGGCTGATGCGAAGAACTTAACTGAGAAATACGATTCCAACTATGTGGGGTCACTAAAAAACCTGAATACATATTCGGACTTGGCGTGCACTAATTTGCTCGCATGCTATGACTCGTCAAGGGTACTGGACTCCTTTGGCTGCTTCGCGCAGGTGGTAAGTACAACACCCTATCTCGACTTATTATTAAGATATTTAACAAATGGCTTGGTTTCAGGGACCCGAATCTTCCAAAGATATATACGCTGTTTCAACGAACGCTTCGGTTTACTATGGTCAGTTGCTGCTGCAATATCAATATGCGCAGTTCGAGGAAGAAACTTGCAAGAATACCTCCAGAAATGCATACGAGCAACGTTGTGATGCGGCCTATGTTGATCTTCAGAAATGCTTGAAGGGCGAGATTCCTGTGCCGACACCTGAACCGACGACCATATCAACAACTGTTGCCACGACAACCAGGACCACGACGACGCCAACCACCGTACCAACGCCGCCGGAGGACAACTTTAATAGCGACATCGCAAATATTTTGAATAAGATCAAACATTTAAACGTTTGATTGATTTGACTACATCAAATCAAAACAGAACAAATTATTGTATATATAATTATACATGTATTTCAATGAAGCAAAGTCGATATGAAATATAAATATACACCTACCACTCGCTTGCGTTACTAGGGAACCTCGTGTTAAGCGAAATCGTGTTAAACGAGACAAGAGTGAGTTCAACTAATGCGCTGCTTTTTATACTCTGCACATGAAATGTAGAAGAGTATATTAGGTTTGCGGGAGCTGAAAATGTAACAGGCAGAAGGAGGCGTGGCAGACCCCACAGAGTATATATATTTTTGATCAGCATGACAAGACGGGTCGATCTAGCCCTGCCTGTCTTTCTGTCTGTCCGTCTGTCTGTCTGTCCGTATGAACACCTGGATCTCAGAGACTATAAGAGATAGAGATACACAATTTTTCGCAAGGATGCCTTATGTGTGTACGCTGTGCAAGTTTGTTTTACTTTTTTCATTTTCCCCCCCACTTCCCCCCTATGGGGGTTTTCCCGATTTGCCATTCGTATAATCGAATATATCTCGGAGACTATAAGACCTAGGGACACGAAATTTTATTCCATGATGCCTTTTGTGAATACGCAGAAAATGTGTATTTTGGAGTTTCCTTCCCTCTCCCCTCTCCCACGCAAAACGTAACTCCCGTAGTTCTTGCAATTTCGAGCTCAAATACTCCCAGTGAGTGATTATGTATCCGTATGTCAAGTTTCACTATGATAGACCGATTTAACAAGAAGTTATAGCATTAAATATATTTGCTGCCCAAGCGCTGCCCGCAGCTGTTGTTGATCCTGGTGCTTTGGTTGACTGCAAACATGCCCACACAGACACGAATAGACACTCATAGCCAAGCATACACTCACATAGACGAATGTGCAATTATACACGCTTTACGTGAGTTCGAATACCGAGAGAGGTAAAATCAATAAATTTTTTTTTTTAATAATTATTCTAAACATATGTACAGAGTATTTCCAAGTAGGAACCCCGGACGTTAGCTTTTTTACTTGTCCAAAAATATTTTTCAGCTTATATTGTGTAAGATAAAGGGTTTTCAGAATAGGTAGTGAATTTATAATCCTGTTATGCCTTTGTACATTTTCCTGTTTGATGCGTTTGTTAAAGTTGCTGGCTTAGCGGCAGAACATGAAAACCAGACTACGAATGAGTGAAGAGAAGGCCAACTTTCTCAATTTCTCTTCCTGGTTATTTCCGCAGGCACAGCACTAAAAACTACTAGAAATAAAGTGACGAGTTAAAGCTGATATTGACAACACTCGTCAAGTGAGAGACGGCGCGGCATAAAAAACGTATTGCAACTTAATTAACGACATGGGAAAGTAAAGAGCCGCCGTTCTGCAATTTGCATAGGCAATGCGGAAGAGAGTGGGAGAGCCACAAAGTTTTTGCATTTGCGACGTGATTTTAATTTTGCTAGTGGATTATCAAAGAGCCTTGAAGCAACATTAAAATGCAAACATGCAAATCAGTTTGTTAACTTTCACGCCTGTTGCTAAGGACCGGCAAACAAGTAGGAGCCCACATTAATGCAAGGCAAAGAATTGAATAAACAGTTGTTGCATTTTGGCCCCCAGGCGTTTTTGTCATTAACATTAACATTTAATTGAATTTGTTTTTGGTTTTTGTTGTTTTTGTTGCTGGCTTAGCAATTAAAATAAGCTCCGAATGCTGCAGTTGCCCCAACATGGCGCGCCCTACACAAATGAACCTAATAACATAGGCACCGTGCAACGCGTAGCACTCTGCAAGTTGCAAGTTGAATGTACCTCAACAAACTGGCCTTTGTGTGTGCACACATTTATGCAAGTACTATACTTGTACATATATGCGAGTGATGTGGCTGCGTGCTGTTCGGAGTGCTCACAAAGAACGCAATTAAGATATGCAAATTAGAAGATGTGTGTAGTGATGTGTGTTTGCGTTTGCTTGCTTTATTAAGGTCTCAGGTGGTGGCATGCGATTGTAGGCGCTAGATAAATTCTTGGGCTCTTCCAAGAAATTACTGAGATCGCGAGATAAGACAATGACTGATAATTGAATGTTTTTTCATAACATGTTGCTATCTTCTCAAGCGTCGTTTATTGCCTTTCTATACAGATATAAAATTGCATTAATTAAAAATTTGCTCAGATTATCTTCAATGGCATAAAATGAAGCATTAACTATAGCTGTGGGTATTACGGATATTTAAAAACTCCGTTCGTATGAACACCTGGATCTCATCTCGTGTAAGAGCTACAAGCAAAAGATGCCTTATATACATAACTACTGTAACATTTGTTAATTTTATCCAATTAGTGGTTATGTATCCATATGTAAAGTTTCATCACGATTGGCTAAAGGAAGTCATAGCCATTAATCTAATCTCTGCCTAAGCTCTGCCAGCAGCTGCTGTTCCTGCTTTGGACCAACTCTGTACTGCATGCCGATGCAAATGTGTAGTAATCAATCATTTTAATTTTTTACAATTTTGCTAATTGCTTTTTTCCGATTGCCATAAATTTATTTAATTATTGTACACAGAGTATTTAAAAGTCGGGGCACCCGACATTTGCTTTTCCACTTGTTATAGCTTATCGCTATCAGTATTGATTAGATGTTTATTATTAGAGACCCGAAGAGTAACAAGTCCTAGACTTCATGACTCATGTATATTAATTTGTTTTTGTGATTTTTTCAGTTAACTACGCACCTCGTGTTTCGATAAGACGATGTTCAGGGGACATTGTGATTTTTTTTTCCGGTGACACCAAGCAATACAATTATTGATGTATAGTTTTTAGTGTTTAAAGTAACACGTAGTATATTAATATTTTCAATAAATAAATACTAAAGTAGCTCCATGGGGAAATCTTATCAAGTTGTAGCGCCATGCGTACTTAAAACTTAACCTGATAGCAATAGCCAATGACACGATGACCATCACCTAAATTTGTGGCAGAGATAAAATAATTGCGGGTATACTCATAAAATTACTGAATAATTAGAAATAAAAATTTTTAAATTATTAGTAATAAACTGCACAGATTTGTTATACTTTGTTAATGCATGTAATTTAACAGCTTATTATAAGTAGTAACACAAGATTAGAATTCAATGATTAGATTCGAAGGAAGCAATAAATATGGATTTACTTTTTACGCCTAAAACTATAAAAACACTTTCACTTTTCTGATAAGATTGTGAGCGTGTACAATTTTTTGGGTTTTTATATAGATTATGCTATAAATAAATTATATAAAATATATACTGTGTGAACTCGAGAATATTTTTATAATATTAATTGTGTTGAATGAAATAAAAAATAATAAATACCTTATCTCCTGCAAGAAAAACCCCTTAACTGCTTCTTCGGAAATGTTTTTGAAACGCATTGTGAGTAGTGGCTTCGTGATAAGAATGATAACGCCGACTGGATTCCACGATAACTCAAGTGATAGAACGAAATCTAAAGTAATAATATGGCAATAACATGACATTTATATTCGACGTTTTATGGACCTTAGTACTTGACTACGATGCCTATAAAGCCTAACTGAGGTTCACAATACGGCCAAGTAGTAAAAGCGCGCTTGTCGCGAACGAACGAACAAAGTGAAAATTACTGAAAAATACAGCAAAGCATTTACCAAACAATAAAAATGTTCACGAAATTGTGTGTGCTCCTTCTGAGCATTTGCCTTAGCTATGCAGCTGTTCCGCAGAATAACCTCCACGAGCTTGGTCTAATGAGTTTCATGATGCAGTCCCGTGATCTGACCCAAGACGACCCCACCCGTTCGCTGTCCTGTTTTGATTACTATGTTCCCATACTGAAGGATATTGCTGATGAGTATCAAGTGGAGTACACTAGGTGCTTGGATGTTGCTGATGCCCAACGTTTGGACGTTGATGAGTCAACGAAACCCGATCGTGAAGCTATCGAGGATTCCGCTAGCAGTTCTTGCGCTGCTCTGCAAAACTGTAACGAAAACAGTAGCTCGATTCCTTTCTTCGAGTGCTACGCGGAAGCGGTACGTTGAAACTATATCAATATTCAAAGGAGCGTTTAGTATCATCTTTCAAATTTCTAGGGTTCTGAAAATGCAAAATCAATGTTTACCATATCGGCAAATGCATCTGAGCTGTTGGCTAAAGTACGCGAAGAATACCGACTAATTGATGTGAATCAATATGTTTGCACAAACAAAACAGAGCGGGAATACGCTGAAAATACCGCTGAGACCTATGAAGAGCTTAGTAAATGTTTGGCCGGTGCAGGAGTGCCCGTGGCAACGTCTTCCTCTTCAGCGCCAGCATCATCTACAACTTCTGAGCCATCCACCGCTGAGCCATCCCCTTCTGAGCCATCCACCGCTGAGCCATCCCCTTCTGAGCCATCCACCGCTGAGCCATCCCCTTCTGAGCCATCCACCGCTGAGCCTTCCCCTTCTGAGCCATCTACCGCTGAGCCATCCACTGCTGAGCCTTCCCCTTCTGAGCCATCTCCTTCTGAGCCATCTCCTTCCGAGCCATCTCCTTCTGAGCCATCCACCGCTGAGCCATCCCCCTCTGAGCCATCCACCGATGAGCCTTCCCCTTCTGAGCCATCTCCTTCTGAGCCATCTCCTTCTGAGCCATCCACCGCTGAGCCATCCCCCTCTGAGCCATCCACCGATGAGCCTTCCCCTTCAGAGCCATCGCCTTCTGAGCCTTCTCCGTCTGAGTCATCTCCTTCTGAGCCATCACCAACTGATGGGCCAACAGACGCACCCGAGGATTCCTCTCCTTCAGATTCTTCGGAATCAACAGCAAACTCGTCTCCAGAAGAACCATCTACTGAAGAACCATCACCTGAAGAGGATATTAAAGATATATTCGACAAATGGCTGTCCGGCTGGAAGAATAAGTTCCAGCGTTCCTAATTTAGTATTACAACAAATTGTATAATCGATAATTAAACAAAAATGGAAAACTGTAAAAAAAAGTGATTTTCAATTCAATTTAATCAAAGTTCATGAATATATATCAAATTCAATAAAAAACCAATACCAATTTGCAGCTACAAAATGATTGTAAAACTTTTTATCAAAGCCTACTTTTTAGAAGAATGAATTTTTGTGCACATACTTTGAAGCTACATGAGATTTTTGTGTTAATGTGGCCAACAGGAATGTAAATTTTTTAAATATTCGTGTTGACTGCTTTTGACCTAAAAGGTACAAGAGGTGTGCGCGAGCTAAAAATGTAACAGGCAGAAGGAGGAGTGCCTGACGCAAACTACTTATATATATTCTTGATCAATTTGAAGAAACTAGTCGATCCAGCCCTGTCTGTCTGTCTGTCCGCCTTTCAGTCTGTTCGTCCGTATGAACACCTGGATCTCAGAGACTATAGTAAAGACACAAAATTGTGACACACCCCCCACCGGGCCAATGTAGGGTATTTTATACTTCCACTACAATTGGAGTTTGACCATAAAAGTTGGCCACCTTTGTTCAATGCAGTAAAGATTATTTATTGCGTAGACCTTCAAAGCTATTCAGATCATTTTGCATTTGAATTTATTCGTCCATAAATAATTAACAACCTTTTGGAATGGTGAATTTAGTTTTGGACTATACATTAACATTTATTGAATTGAGCACATAAATATACAATTATTGCTTTTTTAAAGCAAATTGTTCACCTCAAATATGCAGGAAAAATAAAATAAATTGATCATTTATAAAAGTGTCAAAATTTGAGCAAGATGGCTGGCTAGCTAACTATCATTCGCAAAGAGCAGTTGCACTGTAATGCCCAAATTGATTTTTAACTGACATTGAAAGCTTTTGAACTGCCCAGAGAATATTATTTTGAAAGCTGCTTAAGACTTTCTATGGCGAGCTTAAAATGAAGTAATTCCATACAGAACAGCCAGAGCTGTGTAAATGTGTACGCCATCTTCAGAAAATTCAATTCATTTTCTACTTGTATACAATATAATTGAAAAAGCTTCAGTAATATTGTATGTGGCTGATATAGGAATAGGTTATCATTCCAGTCGCCCCTTCCAACGATGTGATTCATGCGATTAGCTTAGTCTTGTTTGTATATGTTAAAATATAAAGCACAATTTTCAATAGATTATACTTTTTATAAGCTGCCTGCCATAGCAAAATGGAAGGCCTTGCGTGAATATCTGTAAAGCTTTTTGCTCAGAGATAGTCAGACTCGTGTTAGTGTATGATGAATGGTACAGATATATTCTGGTGTGCACACGATTTTGATTAGGAAGTGACGTTCTTGTTTGTGGCTTACCATTAAACATTGTTCGTTATACTCTATGCCCAAAGAGTTTGGCAGGCACAACAGGGCTCCTAATGTACATTTGAATATTTTTATTACTTTTGAAATTAGTGGATTTTCGGAAAGACTATTGGCAATTTAGGCTCTTAAATCAACGAAATTATTCCACGAATGTACTTTATCTTCTAAAAAAATGTGCTGCTCATTTTCTGTCTACCATAATGTTGTTCTTGCAATACGAATTAATTTCTAGAATCATTAAAAAAAAATAACTAGAGGGTATAAAAGGGTCGATCGGCACTCGGCTTTGGCAAACGGGGATATTTTTAACAAATTCTTATCAACAAGAGGATCTTCTTTAACTTGTGCGATTGTCTGGTATTCGTATTCGTCATTATATAGTTGCCAATTTTTAATAAGACTTCTTAAAAATCTCATTAAAGAACAATCAGAATAATCTTGCCATGATTTCAAGTGTTGATAAATTCAAAATTGGGTTTTAATCAACCAATAACTTTTATAGGAAGCGACCACTGCCAGTGCACTGGCTTAATGATTAATGTGCGACTATAAAAGTGAAGTCTGTACTGATACTGCTATTAGTAAGATTCGAAACCTTTTAACTGAAACCGACTTTGTGAACTTGCGTCTAAAATATTACCGGAAGTCATGAAATTCGCGATCGCATTCACAGCCTGCCTGCTTCTGGCCAGCAGTTGCAGCGCCTTGTTTTCCAAGGGACATATCGATTTCGATTTACTGTTACGTCATCAACACATTGCCATGCGATCATTGGTTTCCACATATGATACGCCCAACGATATTGAATTAGTGAACTTGTGTTTCAATGGATACTTGAAGGATCAAGCAGCCGTTGTTGATAGCTATAATAAAGAATACAATGGATGTGTCGATGTGGCCCAACGTCAGAAAGACAAGTTAACTGAAGAAAGCTCAGAGCAGCGTAATGACTTGTTGTCTCGGAGCAACGATGTGTGTCAAGCTCTGACGGTCTGCGATGTTTACACTGACGGTCTGGAGTTCTTTGAATGTTACAATGGCGCAGTGAGTTTGGTGTTTTGGTAGAGCTATTATAATATAAGTACATTTTGCGAATTATTTTCAGTCAAGTGACACATACAAGGTCCTGTTCACTTTGAATTCTGATGCCAATACTCAGTACACTATTATAAGCGCTGCTTACTTGGCTATCGAAAGTGATCTCAGTGTCTGTTTTGATCAGGCACGCTTAAGCTATGCGAAGGACATGGACGTTGCCAATGAGAATTTGCAGACCTGTTTGGCTGGCGGTTCTTCGGATACCACAGAAGAAACTACCACTGAAGAACCCACCACTGAAGAACCCACCACTGAAGAGCCCACCACTGAAGAGCCCACCACTGAAGAGCCCACCACTGAAGAGCCCACCACTGAAGAGCCCACCACTGAAGAGCCCACCACTGAACAGCCCACCACTGAACAGCCCACCACTGAAGAGCCCACCACTGAACAGCCCACCACTGAAGAGCCGACCACTGAAGAGCCCACCACTGAAGAACCCACCACTGAAGAACCCACAACTGAAGAACCCACCACTGAAGAACCCACCACTGAAGAGCCAACAACTGAAGAACCCACCACTGAAGAACCCACCACTGAAGAGCCGACCACTGAAGAGCCCACCACTGAAGAACCCACAACACCTGAGGAGACAGCACCTGAGGAAACAACGCCTGAGGAGATAATTCCTGAAGAAACTACTGAGAAAAGTCAAGAAGAGGATGTGTTCAAAGCTCTGCCTTTGCTTCAAAAACATAATTGGCAACTGTTTAAGCGCCACTTTTAATCAGAAATCATGTTAACAATCTTGATAGAAAGGGTGCGATCGACTACGAACTATTCAGTAAACAAATTTGAAAGTAAAGAAACATTGTTAAATTATTCCACAAACAAATTAAATACATAAAACTATTTATATGCATTGAACATAATGTTTACTCACTCAGCAGAGAATCCATGCAACGTTTAGTAACTATGAAGTAGCCGTCCGTTCGTCTGTATGAACGCAAGGATCGCAGCAAGTACAAGAGCAAGAATAACCAAACTTGGTATCCAGATTCTCCTAATTCCGAGAAAAGGCGAGTTTGTGTTTTTTTCTGATACACCCCCCAATTCTTGGAATTTTGAACTCAAATTTGCCATATACATCCAGTTAATGATTATGTGTGTTCATCATGATCGATCAATTCTGAAAAAAGTTATAGCCATAAATAAACTCGCTGCCCATGCGCTACCTGCAGCTTTTGTTGTTGCTGCTTTCGTTCAACTTTGTGCTGCATACATACACGCATACTTGTATAAACACGCAGACACACGATTCTGATATAAATGTATGCTGTTGATTTAATTTAATTAATATAATTTTTTTTTAATTAATTAAAATTTTTTTCAGTCTCTTTTTTGGTGGGACGAACAGGCTTTTTAAAAGTTGAGCCTGCTCGTCTTTAGCATTCCTTTCTTTTTTGTCATATATATGTATGTATATATATCAATTTATATGTATGTGCGCACTAGGTTCATTGAATAAGATCTAGGCGTTCCTAAGGTGGGTGATGTCATTCAAGTTTACGAGATCCCTTGTGTAAAATATATAATATAATATCATAAAATATATTCCGTATTTAATCTAAAAATCTAAAAATTTTGTAAATATTCCATTGTCTATACTTGTACATATAAACATAGATATACAAAGATTTAAATGAGTCCTATAGATATATAATATGGGCAATTTTTGTATTCGCTTTAATTTTTAACTACCTAAAGCTGCCATATTGCTAGCAGAATACTTTTTTTTCATACATATATACAATTTATTAAACTAGTTTTCTACTACCAATATGGCAGCTTAAGCTAGTTGAAAGTTAGGGAATACAAAAGTTGTCTATAATAAGCATTTATAGGACGCACTTACATCTATGTACATATATACAATACTAGCAGGTATTGCCCGTCTTAACCCGGCTCAATATAATGTTTCCAATTGTATTTATTTTGTGTGTGCATAACCTACCCATATGTTTTCACCTTATAAGTTACCAGTAGGAAGGCATTTAAGGTATTTAAATGAACATTTTCTGTTCTTGACAAAAAATTGTTCAGTAGTCCGTTACATTTTTGTTCTTGCCAAACTATTTCTTTAAACGAACATGACCACTATAACTAATACTTTTTTAAACCTCCCCCCTTTGGAGTTAGAATTTTCCAAAAGCCTTTCTTAGTGTGCTCCTACACTATGATGGATACTATGAAAAGATACTTGAGTCCAAATTTCATCTTTTACCGTTTGGGCTGTGCGTTGATCACCAATTAGTCAGGACAAACTGTTTTATATATAGAGATAACGCAACGTTTTAAGATAGACTATGTGCAAAAAAGGGGAATAATTATAAGGGTATATCCTAATTTTAAATTCACATTTGAGCCTTTTCGTGTCATATTGAGTCAATACGATCACGCACAAACTCGGAATATGAAACACGGCACTCGTGTCAATGCCGTGCAGCGATGAGCCACGATCAAAAAGCACTGACAATTCTCATCTTAATTTGCTAGAGTAAAACTTTCGATAGTTGAAGCCACCGATACCATCAAAATATCGAAGTTTGAATGCAATAAGCAGAATATTTAAATAATAAAATCTAATTATTTATTGAGATCGATAAGAACAAATCATATACATACATACATCTGCCCGCAATGCGAAGCAGAATATGCGTAGCTCCGTTATTCGGTTTCTGCTTTACTATCGCATACGCAGTCGTTGCTTAGCGACGGTAACTGTAAACTTTTGGCGTTTTGCCTTTGCAATTAACATTAAATGGTCAAAACGAAAGAATATGAGCGACCCAACAACTTGAAGTTGTTGTTGTTGTTTTGTATTTACATGCTTCATACATATACAGGCATAGATACATATGCTTGTACATATGTATGTATGTATGCATGGGCACACATAGACACGAACTGTCCCCAACTGTTTGATATTTTGTATTGTTTGTTCTACCTGCATTTGTAAAATGCATATTTTAAAAATCGTTAAATGCAAAGTTGTAATTTTAGTTACGTAGATTATATTACCCAAATTTGAAATCGATCTGACAAAATTTATAACACAAACTTTTCATTTGAAAAAATGAATAAATATTAAAACCCCAATAATTCAAGCTCCAACACAAATTTTGAAAAACCGAGTATGCAGTTTTGTTTGTATTCTTTTATAGATTATAAAACCTAAATTTAAAGTTGATCGATTCAAAAATGCAGATTTTTCATACAAACGTTTTCCCCCCTTTGGCGTTCGAATTTTCCAAAACCGCTTCTTAGTGCTCACCTACACCACTGAAGACAACATGTGTCCAATTTTCAGCCTCTTAGCTCTTACCGTTTGGGCTGTGCGTTGATTGCACATAGCTTTTCGTTTACCGAATTTTCCACCGGAAAATCATTATTATTCAGGCCGCAGGAAAAATATTGAAAATCCAAGTATACAGTTTTTTTTGTATTCTTTTTGAGAATATACAAACTAAGTTTGAAGTTAATCGGATAAAAATTGTAGATTTTTCATACAAACGTTGGAGCTCGTTTTCCCCCCTTTGGAGCTCGAATTTTCCGAAACCCCTTCTTAGTGCTCACTTTCACTATAAGAGGGATCTTGTGTCCAAATTTCAGCTTCCTAGCTCTTACCGTTTGGGCTGTGCGTTGATTGCCAATCAGTCAGTCAGTCAGTCAGTCAGGACAAACTGTTTTATATATATAGAGATTTACAATGTCTTACATGGAAAATGAATTTATATTTTATGATATATACTATATATTTTATACAAGGGATCTGGTGGGGAGATCCTTTGGATGGCACTTATTCAGTCTTCTCTTCTTAGGTTTGGATAGGAGCCGCCTCGCTAGTGCGTTGGGGTGACTGTAGCAGAATACTAGTTTAATAAATTGTAAGTAATGTACCAAAAAAAAAAGTATGTAAATCATTTGTTGTCGACTAGTCGACTTTTGATTGTGCGCTTCGTGAAAAATTGTATTAAATTCCTTCTTTTTTTTTCAATTAATTCGCGTCTAGTGCGTTTAAAAAAAAAAAAAAATCACCCGGAAACCTAGTTTCATCTTGGCTGTTTGGCAATCGTTTAGTGTCCTTATTTTCTTGGATTCCATTCAAAAATTAATCTGCTGTATGGGGCTGCTCTGCTGACGTATACACGTCATCGAAGCAGAGACAGCCCAGAATTTTTCTTCTTTGCTTGTTTTTGCAAATCATCTTATCTCACTGAGATGCTGATGAAGACTCGGCCGCTCTCGGAGCAGCTGAGGAAGTAGTCAATAAGATGCCGAAGTACGTGGAGATGAGAAAAATTTCTGGTAAATCACCTTCGGAGCTGAGAGGAAAAATAACCAAGGACCTGCATATGTCAATGGGAAAACCATACGTAAAGTTCAACCAGTAACTGGATTGCCTCAACCACTTGTACATCGACTACAAGTACCCTTACATTTTCTGTGGTGAACTCTCAATCAATGTACACCTCAGTAGCGACATCAAATGACAGTTTGTGCTCCACACCCGCCGTTGTGAGTACACCGGCTTCAATCACAAACTTAGTTGCAAATCCAACTCTGGACAAATTTTGCTCGTTTCAAATGCCAGTACCCGGTATTAATAGGAAGCGAAAAGGAGCCGTCGAGTCACTAAAATCGGCTCAAAAAAATAAGCCAACTCCTGTCAATACAACCCAAGGACAACGAACTGCGTCCTCCTCTCCGCCAGCGCTTCAAAATAATAGATTTGCAGCCCTTTTGTAACGGGTATAGGACATATCCCATTATATTACGCGAGTTGGTGTGTGTATGTTTGAGAGCGCACGCTATATGTTCCGGCTCGGGCTCGTCGGCTAGTGGGTGGTGTTCGATGTCTCTCAAATCATACGGCCTTTCATTAAGCTTATTATTTAAAGTTAAAGCGTGCTATTGTGAAAGCCAAAAAAAAAAACCGGTAAAGACATACATAAATAGGACTAACAAAAGGAACGTTGGTTGGCAGACCACGTAACACAAGTGTACACACATCTGGTATTCCTCTGTTGGTGTTGAGGAAGTATTGGCCCACCCATCCTTGGTCATTTATATCCAAAAACAATTATGCAAATGACCCCTTCGAACCTCTACATGCTGTGGCTAGCGGAAATCAATGTTAGGCGGAATTTAAGCAAACATTATAAACTTTTTATTAAAAACTAAAATTCATAATTTTCAAGGAATTCAAAAAGTGACCGTACATTAACCGATAATAGAAATCTAAAGCTAATTATCACTGGATTCGTAGCCAGTAGGCAGAATAGGTGAACATATGACTGCCCTAAAATACTAATTAAAATATAAATTGAGCAAGGTGAGTAAAGCAACGGCTTGGCTGTAAGAGATGGTTAATAATTGAAATGGATCGTAATATAATAAATAAAAATATGATGTAAGAGAATGTGTTGATATTTAGAATGTTATAAATTCTTGCATCGCTTTTCGTAGGCGTGCCTTATTTGCAAAGATTGGCCATAAATTTAAATAAGAAATGACCGCAAACAAGTATTACGTTATTACGGTGATTTAAAAAAAAAAAAAATAATGCGGAAATTTTACTTTACATGGCCAGCAGGCAGACATATGACGCATATGAACAGGTGTTTTATTTTTTTTGTTTTTGTACGCGTGCTCTCCTGCATGAAAGTAAATAAAATTCAAACGGTTCTACTTACAGTTGTCGTCCAACGTCGAAAGATCTTTCCGTTGAGGCGCTCTGCATAGGCTCGTTGCTGCTTAAATGCACATTAATTATGATTTTTAATTTGTTTGTAAATGTAAAATTTTATGTTGAAATTTTTGTTTTAAAACATGCTCTTTTCATACTTGTACATTCACTTGTCGCCATGCATATTAAAATGTTATTTTGAAACGTTTAGTCAAAGGGGTTTTTATACCCTGTACCCAAAGGGTACAAGGGTATATTAGTTTTGTGCGAGCGCACATGGAACACACAGAAGGAGGCTTGGTAGACCCCACAAAGTATATATATTCTTGATCAGCATGACAAGCCGAGTCGATATAGCCATGTCCGTCTGTCCGTCTGTCTGTCTGTCTGTATGAACGCAAGGATCTCCGAAAGTATAAGAGTTAGAATAACCAAACTTGGTATACAGATTCTCCTGAGACCGAGAAAGGACGAGTTTGTTCATTTTTTCTGATCCACCCCCCCACTCCCCCCCTATTAACGATTTTCTATAACTCCCGTAATTCTTGGAATTTTGAAATTTGGTAGACACATCCAGTTAGTAATTGTATATCCGTATACCGAGTTTCATTATGATAGAATGATCGGAAAGAAAGTTATAGCCATATAACCAGGCCCAATGCACACATACATACATATGTACAAGTACACAAACACGCATAAGGCACGATTCTGATGTAAATGTAAATGTATCTATGCATGCATGGAATATTTTATATTTAATTTGGTTAATTAATTAAATTAATTTAGTTAAATTAAATTAATTAATTAATTTAATTAAATTAATTTAATTACTTTTTTGTGGGGTGGTACAGGGTATTTAAGAGTTGAGCCTGCTCGACTTTAGCATTCCTTTCTTGTTATTTGTTGATTTGCCTTTCTCGCCTTTTCTTTTCCTTTTTTTTTTGGTTTTCACTTATTTCATTTTTTTTCTCGCTCTACACACCAGGCCGTGCTGCTTTGCTCACATCGAATATAGATTAATTTAAGTATAGAGCCGTATACGACAAAAAAAAAAAGAATATAAGATGAAAGAATACCAAAAAAAAAAAAAATGCCTATTTCTCTCGGTTAGCACGTTTTTGTTGTTTTTGCAGGGCCCACATTTGTGTATAGTTATAAAATAAAAAAAATATAAAAATTTTTTTTTTTGATATGCAGGCACTCTTCACTAAAGCCACATGGGGCTTTGCCACCTTTTCGGTGCACGGAAACGCAACAAAAAAAACAGGTGCACTAGTTTAAGCCGACGACTGTCATATCTGATATGATCCACGCAACTGAGGCGGTGATTCTTTTCGCCGTTTCAATGGCCTGAGCGAAGCGCCGATCTCGTCTCTTGCACGCCTCCTTCTCCCGTGCCCTTCCCTTTGCCTAGTCGTCGCTCTAGCAAGTGCCCATCAAAGCGATAAGCAAAGGTTAATGCACTTTTTGGGATTGGACTTTTTATTAAGTGCCAATTCTGCACGAAAACAATGTACAATGAAGAAATAGCATTAGCTTTTGCATTTTAAATGCGAATAAACGAAAAAAAAAATAAAATTTACCCGATATCCGGAAGTGGCTCCAGGCAGAATTCCTTTTGCTAACACAATTGAAGTGAAAAAGTGAAAAATTACTGCAAATTCTGCAAATTTGTTGCGGCAGGCTTTACGCTTTGGCCAAGCCGAATTTGAAACGGCTTATAGGTTATACTATATGTATGACCATATATTTGCCAGCCAGAGTATATTGGGCACAACCTGCTCCCATGCGATCTTCAAGCGAAAAGAAAGCAACTTTTCTTTGCGGAAATTGCTTCACCCCCTCTTCTGACAATCTCCCTTTGACAGGTCAAGGTTGAAGAAAGGGCCACTGACAACTAGCAAATAATGCCACTGAGCAATACTGAAAATAACCCATAGGTGGCCGATAGCCGTGCGGCTGCAGAAAATAATTTTTTTGTACATATATAAAAACAATTATGGAAAATTGGTTTGTTTCGTCTGCTAAGGCAAGAATAATAAAAATGCGATCATAGGCAGTTGGCGCTAAAACGAATCGCCAATTCAAACCGTAACTAAACAAGCAGTGCGTAAACATAAATAGCCAATGAGCTGCTTGACTAAGGGAATGCAATTTAATTTACGATATTCGCCGCCAGCGTCGTTACACTTTCGGAAGAAGCTGATTCCATTATGGAAATGGAAGAGCCAGATTCCGAAGATCGATCGAGCCAGCAAAATGAAGCCAGCCGTCTCCAGCAGGGAAGTACTATTCCTAAGCCTCCTGCTATTTGTGTGCCACAAGTTAACAAATTGGATAAGCTGGAGGTGGCGCTCAATTCTGCTGTCTCCCCTGACGATTACGACATACGCACATCGAAATCTGGGATCTCGCGTATTTATACGAAGAATTCTAATTCTAAGAGTTGCGCAAGCTAAAATACTGAGAAAAATATGCAAAAACAATGCAACTAGGGACATCGAAAGAGACTTATGTGTCCCCAAGGTTGGCGATGTCATTCAAGTGCACGCAAGCAATTACGAGAAGCGACTCGGCAGTCACCCCAACGCACTAGCGAGGCGGCTCCTGTCCAAACCTAAGAAGAGAACACTGAAGTAGTGCCATCCAAAGGATCTCCCCACAAGATCCCTTGTATAAAATATATAGTATATATCATAAAATATAATTTCATTTTTCATGTAAAACAGTGTAAATATTTTATATATGTACATAGATATAAGTGCGTCCTATAGATGCTTACTATAGACAACTTTTGTATTCCCTAACTTTCAACTAGCTTAAGCTGCCATATTGGTAGTAGAAAACTAGTTTAATAAATTGTATATATGTAAAAAAAAAAACAAGTATATATGAAAAAAAAAACTCGTAATTTATTTCATTGCATACTTCTAGGCTGCACTTTAAAAACCAGCTGTACAAAGTTCTTATCGGACAATAAACTTATCAATTGAGAACTATCTTTATATCATAAAACAGCCACTAAGACAAATCGCACACATGTAACATATGATTTATTTTAGAGCTGGTGCAGTTGAATTTAGCTCTGTTGGAGATCGGATCATACAAATACAAAACAAACTCGTAGAACTGGCAACGAATTTTACTAGAAACGGTTATCTGCTGTTGATTAACGAGTACATGCTAATCTTAAATATTTATGTATTTTTATTTTCGACAATACTTGTATTTACGACTTGATTATTACAAATTAGTCGGAAGTTCCCAACTGATATTAAGTTCCTATACGTACAACAGAATAACACTTGAATTCCAAAATAATGCTAGCAATAAACCAGTCCGAGACTAGAAGTCTCCAGTTCTTGTGCCTGATTGGGTTCTTCATGGCAGTAGGTACAACAGCATTGGCGAACATGGCGCCTAAAGTCGACAACGATAGCTGCCATAATACGTATACTCTTCAAGCTGCAGACGCGTCGAACACTTATACTTCGAGCTACACTTTATGCGAGCAGACGGCTAATGACACAATGATTGAGCTGACCATTGATGAAAAGTTGGAGCGAATGCAAATCGAACAAGGTGCCGGGGCAGTATGTGACAATTTGGCCCAATGCTCTGCGATTGCCGACGACTTAGACTACATGAAGTGCATTCGTGAGATTGTAAGTACTTTCAGAGATATGGTTAAATGCTTTCAACTTGACAAAGTGCTTATCGACGCCTTCACTTTTACAGGGAAACAAGAACTTGGACATACTTGTTGAGATTCATTTTAATGCTACGAGCGCACACACCCGTCTTCGCACCGACTACGACGAGGTGCACCAGACTTTCCTGCTGTGCACTCTCGAGGCGCAACAGGTCTATGTGAACAGTGTGCGACTGGCCTACAATGAACTTTTGGAATGTCGTGCACAGATGGAAAACTGTTCGAATAGCATATTTTAATGTTTAGTAAATTAACTTAAGATCCCAAAAATGTGGTCGTTGCTGTTGAGGGTGGCCCGTAGAGCAAGCAGTGGTCCAGGGCGTCAAAGACTTGTGAGGTCCCCACTACATAATCACGCTCCGTTTCGTTGGTGCACTGATACTTGCTTATCTCATTGCTGGCCAGTTTCTCATTGAGGATTAAAGCATCTGCTGAGGCATTGAAGGATATTGCATAGACAGTAGCTAGATTCTGTTTGGACTACATATGACACATTAATAAGTAGACGTAATTATAATTTAGTTCACAATTTTTGCAATACTCACAAACTTGGAAAAACAATTGAAATATTCCAGAGCATCGGTCAACTGTAGGCATTCTTCTATAAAATTGGATACGCCCATTGCCGCCTGCTTTATGTCGTCTTTCAGAGCACCTATATCAGTTAGGAGTTGAACGCGAATAGTGGAAGCATTTTGCAAACATTGCTCATAGTCTGTGGACCACTGTGCACCCAACTCCTTAAGAAGTGGTTGATAAAGCGAAAAACATTGCGTCGTGTCGTTCCCGGCAGCGCTGACTTTTTGACCATCTTCTTCCAGATAGGACAGCGAGTGCTGAAGTATTTATTCGAAGCTACAATTTTTTAGTCAATTCTACGGGTATAACATTTAACCTACAGTGAGCCAAATGCTGAAGGCCAGCGTTGTTAGCAGTGCTTTCATGTCTGCGCGGTTCTGGGACCAAAATATTACTGCTATCGCATGCTTCCATGGCAGGAAGGCTTGTGTTTGACAAACTCGTATTTGCTTATGATAAATGACAGTGATGCATGATTTGTTTTTGTTTACGAATGCCTGGCCGTTATCGCAGGCAGACAGGCGGACTGGCAGGCTGGCAGGTAGGCAGGCAGGCAGGGAAGATAAAGCTCAGTTGTTTCCAAACTGTGTATTAACAGTAGTTACCCATAGAAGGGGTATAGTATACTTTTGTGCGTTTCGACAAATGCAGAGTTGCGAACAATGATATCACAAATTGTACATAATACCTTAGAAATCAATACCTAGGTGTTCACCAATGGCACACGCACAACCTAGCGTTTCATTGGTGGGATGGGCGAAGGGGCCGTTCGTGTTAACCCTGGCTGCACGTGAATGAGATCAATTGAAATGCACATGCAAAGCAATTTGAGGCCTCGGTTTGGCGCAAAGTATTACTCGTACGCGTATAATTAATGCCATCTAATTGATGAGTCGGCTGGGGTAGTGCGTACAATTTTCAGAAATAGCAACTCCATCAGCCTAATTGCCAGCCCAGACATGCACAAAAATCACCGAAAATATTTACGTAAATACCATTTGCAAACTTATCAATCATTTGTATGCTTAGACGGATTGCCAACTATATAAAGCAAATGGGCTGGCCCATTGCCACCCACAGTTCAACCAGCAACGAATCGAACGAAATATGAAGTTTCTGTGTAGTTTTCTCATCCTGGTCAGCTCTTTCGCTGCTTATGTGCAAGTATAAAGAGGTTTGAATTGGAAATCAAGCATCTGCTTTTAATCTACAATTTTTGAACACAGGCTAAGCCCAACAGCAGCGTAGTGAGCGCGAGTGTGCAAAATGCAATGAAGCAGTATCTGCTTCAGCAGCGTGACTTTGATGTCAATCTTGATCCCGATGTGACTTCCGAATGCTTCCAGCTCTACTTGCCCATGCTCAATGAGGTGGCCGCCAGTTTCTCCAGCCAGTATCAGCAATGCATCGCTGTGGCCAACGAAGAAATTGCAAATATAACTTCGCAAGCAGCGAGCAACCAGCAATTGTACAAGCAGGAAGTTACCAGCATATGCAGTGCCTTCACCAGTTGCGACAGCGACAACGATACTGTTGCCTTCTTCAACTGCTACGCCGCTGCTGTAAGTCTCATTTCAACTGTCTTGAAGACCAATATAACTTTAATTACTGCCCTGCAGGCCCAGAGCGATGTATCTGTAATTTACGACATTTCCACCAATGCCGCCAGCACGGCCAACTCCCTAAGCCAAGGCATTCAGGCCATACAGGACACGGAGTATCAGTGCACAAACACCACAGAGAGCAACTATGTGCGTGATACGGCAGCCACGTATGATCTGTTGGACAGCTGTCTGAAAAACGGATTACCCACAACATCTACAGCAGTCGGGACTGTCAGCACTACTGCCGCTACTACTCTTAGCTCCGACGCCACTGCTGATGTCTCGTCAACATCTGACACTACTGTAGACTCCAGTACCGATACAACGAATGCACCCGAAGCATCTGTATCGACAGATGCCTCAAGCGTCTAAATGAGCGTTCAATTACTGCAGCATGCATAATAAAGCAAACAAGAACATATAAGCAAATTTAGTGAAATAATGAAGAAGGTTACTAGGTTGTATACAAATTTGGGATACATGCCAAGAGGGTTCCACCATATTCATATGGTTATACAGGGCTCCATTCATTGACTAATTGGAACACAGCTAGTCCTACTCGCACGCTCATTCAATTTCAAAATACATAAATTTATTTATGTACATATACTTCTGGCCATTTGAATAAGAACATGATTGAGTTCACATGATAATATCTCTTCTATAATATAAATTGGTTTATGACACTTTGAAACTAACGTTTATTAACTATTTTTAAGTACCGTGCCTTGAGCGCAGCCTTGTTTTAAAATAGCGCCCTCTTTAGCGTTACTATAATAAGAATATCAGAAAACGATCAGTCCTTCGTTATCTTTATTGGAGGTCGTTTCAGCTTAATGAAATAAATAAGAATTCGTTCTTTTGACGGCTGAAGATAAAGCCTTGCCATATAAAGAGATGAAGTAGTCGTTTCGAGAAATCGGGGAAAAATTGGAAAGAGTTCTAAAGCAGTATTTCATTTTCTTCAGAAATCCTCCAAGTATGGGAACAAGACTTACTGTCGAACCAAAAAGGCGTCTTCAGCGACTGTAACACGAGCTTTAATCAAAATAGCTTTCTTTTATTTCAGTCAGCTCCCAAAATTAGATCTGACTTGGGGCTAAAGTCAGGTATTTCGACTGTAACTCAAAGTTTTCGTTACAAAGAACATCTCAAAAAACCAAAAAAAAAAACAAGAGAGAACGCTACAGTCGAGCAAGCCCGACAGTGTAATACCCTGTACCCAGGTAAACTTCCGTCACTGAGTTATATGCGCCCATAGCAGCAGCAAAAAGAGGAAGAAGAAGAGCGAACTTGTTGCTGCAGTTTGGTGGGGTTGTACTGGTGAGAATTTGTTTTGCTAATAACTTTTCTTAGAATTGACCGAATTGAATAAAATTTTAAACAACATTAGATAATTGTATAGAAATTATGTGTGCAAAGTTTGGTTTAGGTAGCTTTTGAAATGTGGACGCTATTGACGAAATTCTGTAGCGGGGGAGGGGGGGGAGGGGGGGGAAATTAAAAAAAAATAAATAAACTCGTCCTTACTCGGACCTAGGAGAATCTGGATGCCAACTTTGGTTATTCTAGCTTTTATAGTTTCCGAGATCCTTGCGTTCATCCAGACGGACGGACAGACGGACGGACGGACGGACAGACGGACAGACGGACATGTCTAGATCGATTTCTCTCGTCAAGCTGATCAAGAATATATATACTTTATGGGGTCGGAGATGCTTCCTTCTGTATGTTACATACTTTGCACAAACCTAATATACCCTTTTTACCCTACGGGTACAGGGTATAAAAATTGTCAATTAGTAAAGACCCTACTGTATTTACGCGCAACTTTATGGAATGGAAATTAATAACCTGATGTTTATAAATATTATTTCAGCAGTATACGGAGGGAACAATATTTTTTAGATCATCATCAAAGAAGCGGAAGCTAATGAGTGGGAAGCCTTCCATGGAATTTGGGCTGTCCAGGTCCAAAAATGGCGTTTCCAACAAGATAACTCTCCAATCTATAGTGAATTTGCTTCAATTGCCGCATCCGCCAATCCTCAATATTGTTTTGGACGTTCGGAGCTGGTTTTCTTCCACAAAGACAGTTTAAAACAAAGTAGGCCGTTTTAAGTAAAAGTCAAAACTTTCATCTTGTTTTAAAGTTATTTTATCGTTTACATTTTTCTTGAGAGTTCTTATCCGAGTGAATTAAACATCGCTATTTTGAATTGAATTTCTATTTTTCTTTACCCAGTACCCAAATGGTAAAAGAAGGAGGAGTGGCAGACCCATAAAAGTAAATATATTATTGACTAGTATGATAAGACCAGTCGGTATGAAAAAGGAAGTTATAGCCATAAATGTAATCTCTCGGGTGTAATCTCGGGTGCACACACACACGAACATATATATTTAAATTCTTATAGGCATGATTCTGATGTAAATTAATATTATAAATTAATGCCATTTTTTTAAAATTAATTTTTTAATTTTTTTCTTTTCTGTGCGAGTGGGTACAGGGTATTTAAAAGTTGAGCCGGCTCCACTCTATAATTTCTTTATTGTTTGTTTGTTGTTTGAACATATGGTGTTGAAAAATACAGACAAGCGGATTATTATATAATAATTAATTGGATAAGTAGTTGTACGGTTATTTGCACGAAGGCAACAAAGCGTTGGACTGCCGTTTTTAGTTTAATAAAAAGTTATGACAAAAAACATATGATTGTGTGCTTATTTGTGTAATCTACTTGTATGTTTTACCAATCTAAACCCAAAATTTGCCCCCATTGTTTCGTCGAATTAGAAAAGCTTTAGTATGGACGACATGTTCCGTTAATTAGAGGAATAAAACCAAAATCATTAGAAAGATTCCTTTGCAAGACAAAAACAAAACTGATCCAGTTTTCGAATTAATTCTAAATATCTATATTTTAACCGACATTATAGTCTTATAGTATATGAATTTTGTACAACTAAAAATTTAATTTATTTAAAAACAATTCTGTCTGTTTTTTATGTTTTGTGTAAAGTTTTTGCGAATTAAATAAAAACAAAATATATTAATTTTCCTAAAATGATTATATTATATTATTTATAATTTAGTGCATTTAGTATTCGGCTTGCCGAAAAAACTTGTGAATTGTTTTTTTAATTTATTAAACAAAAAGTAGAATAGGGGCGCTAATAAGTTGAAAAACACATACATTAATATTCTATATATGATACAACGAAAAGCCAAATATCTTATCACTGCTTATTCTTATGCTTTTATCATTTCAACAATTTGTGTGTAAACAGTTGCTTTTATATTACTGTGTTATGCTCATGCCCTCACAATGTGGGAATGTGTTTTAGTTGATTATTGGTAGTCGACACGTGCTGTATGGGAAAAATTTGGTTGGCGTGCTTTTTAGCCATTATCGGGGCTGCCTGCGTAAATGTAATGCTAATTGATTCTGTTCAAAACGAAGAAATATCGAATTATATAGAATACTAATTATTTTAAAACAGTCGCTGGCTATTCGTACATTGCAATGCAATGAGGGCAGTGGCACCCACACGCAAACCTCAGCCGACGGTTCTCAGACGCAGACGCAAACTGGACCTGGATGTCAAACCCAAACCTCTGAGGATGGCTCACAAAGCCAGAGTCAGAGCCAGACTGGTGATGGCACACAATCGCAGTCGCAGTGCAGCGGATCTGGTTGTGCTTCCCTACCCACCCTTAACCCTCTAGAATGGGAGCCATTGTCGACGCTGAAACCCTTGGAATGGCAGCCCATGCAGACACTGCCACCTTTGGAATGGCAGCCCATGCAGACACTGCCTCCCTTGGAATGGCAGCCCATGCAGACACTGCCTCCCTTGGAATGGCAGCCGATGCAGACGCTGAAGCCCCTGGAATGGCAGCCCATGCAACCACTAAAGCCCATAGAATAGTAGTCTCGAGTATGATCAATATATATGCTTTAGATACAGATTCTTTCGTGCTCTTTAAATAAGTTCAGGTGTTATATTCTTAATTCAATTTTGTACTGCCCGAATTGGTTGTCTTGGTAGATGATTCACCCATTGAGAATTTGAATATACCAGACTTACATATTTGATATATTCAATTTAAATGCAATCGTAAACTATATCCACTGCGTTCAATAGAATACGAGGATACAAGTTGTTGTTGCTATTGACAATATGTAGAAGTGCGAAAACTTGAGCTACTTAAATAATAGACAGGTGGAATAACTTAGAACATAAAACTAGTAGAACCCTCCATTATCAATTTTAACGCCTTCCCACCTTTCAGATAAAACAATGGCAAGCCATTTCCCGAATTTCAGCAGCTCCCATGAATCTTAATTTTTTTCCCACCACTTGCATGTTTTTTCGTTAGTTTGTCGCTTCCACAAACTGTGTGATTGATCGATAGAAAGGGCTTACAAAATGTAGTTGGGCCGAATACATCAGTAGCGCCTTTAAGTTTAAGCCCTCTTTTGATGAAACTTTTATTTTAATGCCACGGGTATGAAAGAAACTTTTAATGCCCTCGCCTTTGCTAAGCCGTTTGGCTATAATCTTGCAGCCATATTGGCCTCAAATGGGCTTGAGGCAAAGGACTTGCGTGTGCAAGTAATTGTGCATCAGTTGCAACAATCAGTGGCAGGCGTCGTTGTTTTAGGAGGACGAGGTCTCGTGCTCCTTCAGCTGCCAGCTTGCGTTTAACTCATTTTCTGATTAAAATCTTAGCCATTAAGCGAGTGCGCCCGCTCAAATCGCACTAAACTTTTTTAATGACACTGACAACTGACAATAGTTGGCCAAAATGTGCACGCCAGCCACAAAAAGACGCTCGTCGAGGATGGCGCGAAAATTGTCGCCTGTCGCCTGCCTCCCGTCTCCTTCCGGCAACGACGATGACTTGTACTTCTACTTTCTGGAAGGGCATGGCTCGAAAATTTCGCTGTAAAATTAAATTAAAACTGTCGAGCGCAAAAAAAAAATTGAAAATAGTAAAAACACAACTGCGGATATACGAGTATTTGTGCAGTGTTTTTTTTTGCGTTTTTGTTCACTTTAAAGGAACTTCGCGAACGCTGTCAGCACTGCCTCTTGCTACTGTAACGATGTCAATTAGTTTTTTAAAGCAAAGGAAGGCGGCAGGCAATTCGCGAGTCCTTCGTCGCCTGTCTGCCAGCCTGGCAGCCTTAGCCGGGGCAATGGCAACAACGCTTGTCCTCTGCACTGCAGCAAGTCAAGTCGCCAAGTCAAGTTGGCTTTAAGTTAATTGCATAAGATTTTGCTTTTCCACTTGCTTTTCACTTTTGGGCCGTTGCTCGGCGATGTCCTTGTTGCCGTAATTTTTAATCAAATTAAAAGTTATTCTTAAATGAAGTGCGAATGGAATGCAAGAGCAGCGCAAATGTTGTAACATAAAGTTCGAGTCAAACAGTGACGTTGCTTTTAATGTTATAAAGATATATAAGTATTCTATATAGTGCTGCATTGTATACGCCATTTGAATGGCCATTAAAAGAAAAGACCCCCTTTAATATAATTAAACCGTAAGCAAAAGGACTTTGTATTTCATTTCAATTAATTATTTTTATATTAAAGTACCAGCAACTTAAACTGTCTGCATTTTATTTGACATTTGCATGCAGTTCGTCTAACTTGGCTGAAATAAAGAGGTCGCCTTAGCAACCGCTCCTCAATTACTATACTTGTACTTGTATATGTATGTACCACACATTGCATACACGATTGCATTTTCAATTAAATTAATTGGACTGAAAGCAATTAAAATATTCATTACGGGCACTACTCGTATGTGCCAATTATTCGTTACAGCACTTGTATACTCTATACAAAAAGTATTTAGTTTGAGTTGATGTTCAAAGATATAGAGGCTTTACTATTGGTATTATATGGATTACAGAATATGGAATATATTTATTCACGATGAGGTCAACATAGATTCATATTTTCAATGCTTATCTTATCAAGCTGCTTTTTTGTTATCTATTGCGTGAGAATTAAGTTGTTGCGTATGTGAGAAATTGTTGTTAGTCAATAGTAATTATATTAGAGAATGTACAGATTAAATGAACAATCATACTGAAGAGAGTATTGAGGCGTCGGCATATGATGATGATATCAGCATTTGATTTATATTTATATATATGTATATTTAACAATTGATTTGCCTTAGCAACAATGGCTCGCGCTTACACGTATTCAAAGGTACGCCCCCTTCGCACGTAGCAACGACTCACACACCTCAGACCTCAGACCTCACACCTGCTGGGCTTTTCGACGACAAAGCGTTTGACTGATGACATGAGCAGCTGATAAGCGGCAAAAGGTATGACCACCCACTACGTTGTCGTTGTCCAGCCAACGAGGCTGTCTGTACACCCGATTGGGGCTTAAGTAGCCATGTCCACGTACATTTTAGAGAGGTGCGTTCGCAATCTCACATGTATTATATGTACTACAAGTATAACTACAAGTACAAGTGGGTGGATGTTGAATTAATTGTCTTTCGGTTGATGTTGTTGTGGTTGCTTTTTTGTCAAACGCCTTTTGCTGCAGGCTAATTGAGCACTTAAAGCAATAGCAGCCACAGTAACAGCAACAACAACGACCGCCAGCTAATTAGAGAGCGCCAAAAGTTAATTGCAATTTGCGCTTGGTCGTGATGCGCTTAAGAGTGAGTTTTTAGCATCGTTTGGCAAGTTCTCACTGCCATCTTTAGCCCCCGCCTCCATAACCATTGCCCTCAGCATCAGCATCAGCATCTCCATCTTCGTCTTCATCTTCACCAGGAAGGACCTTTGTCACGTTGCTCTTATATATGACTTCATTTTGTGTAAGCCATTGAGCCAACTGCCTGCTCCGCCGGGCTTGGCAGCTCAGTTCGGCTCGGCTCGGCTCATCTCAGGCTGTCGTCAATGATGGCAAACGATATGCAGATATGCACGCAACTCCAAACTACGTGCAGATGGACGTAAACCGATGCGGACTAAATATAATTTTTTGTTCCTCTTCTGCTATTTTTTCTTTTCGCTTTTTCTTTGTATTTCTTGTGCACGCCGCCGGGCCCAACAGAAAATTTTCTAATTTTCTACTGCAGTGATTTTGAATGCATCGTCTAAAGTTTCGTTTCGTTTAGTTGGTCCAACTTCCGTCCCACTTCCACTTCCACTTCGCCTCGCTATGGGCCGCGACGCTGCTTTCCACTGATTTATGCGCATCAATAAGTTCTCTGAGAGTGCGATACTTATGCGAAATGTTCCGCAATGAGACGTGGCTGCTGGCTAGCACGTGCGCCTGCACTCGAGGCAGTCGCAGTCGCAGTCAAGTAACTCGATTCAGATATTCGCAGTCGAGCTCAGTTCAGTTCAGTTCAGCTCTGCTCTGCTCAGCTCAGGCAGTTTCGAATGCCACAAAATAATGATTTGCATTTGCATTTCGGTTTCGATTTGGACTCGGATTTGGATTTGGATTTAGATGCAGCGATTTCGATTTCGATTTGTTTTTTTTTTTCTATCTGAGCTTTTTTTACCATTTATTTTTTTGTGGAGGTGAATTATAATATGGCTCAAGTTTTGCGGTGGCCACAATGACAAATGAGCCAACTTTAGGGCCCGTCTGCGACAGGAAAAGTTTTTAAAGCTCCGCTAATGAATTGCCGGCCATTGCCTTGTCTTTAAGCGGGTGGCAGTGGCCAACGAGTTGCTTATCGCCCAGGCCTGCCCGTGCCTGCTCAAATAATTCATTTCGCAGCACAGTTTTTGTCGCTTTCTTTCCTTTTCTTTTCTCTCCCTGTTTACTTGGCGGCCACGATTTGCACACTACGCTTATATTTACATAGCGGCCATTTGCTTTTGCTTTTGCGTTTTTGTTTTTTGCACTTGCTTATCTTAATGGGTCAAAGGTTATGGCGGCGTGCTCGACATTTTGTTTTAGACAGTAGTCCTAGCAGTCGTAATAGTCGTCATCACCCGCTTTCCGCTTTCCACTTTCCTCCTTCCGGCCGCCCACCCGCTGGGCTCGCTGCGTGCGCTAGCGGTCAGCAGTCGGCGCATCTGAATTCAAATGGCGCGCGCCCATTAAAAACGCCGCCAGAATCTCAAACTGTGCAGCAACGCTTGTTAAGATTAGGGCGCCTCCTACATGTCTGCCTTGTCTGCCTCGCTGCTATAAATAGATTTATGAATTTTCGATAACATTTCATGCCCAAGCACTTAGCAGGCTTATGACAGCAACTTGCTGCGAAAATATGGCCGACAAAATTCACGAAAATTGAGGCTGAAACTGAGGCTGAAGTCTTGATGCATACATATACATACAAGTATATATACATAACTAAATATCGAAGTTTTTAGCTCTCAGGGATTTGGCACACTTAGCCGACAACTCATTCGTCCTCATTTTAGACACATCCATTGTGTGGTTGCCGATTATACTTATGAGCGTTTTATGAAAGCCTGCTTAAACTAAACTTGCGTAAGCGAAGTTGTTGGCTCAAAAGCGCAATTAAAAACACACAAAACACTTGGCGTTTAATTAATTTGAAAATTACAACATGGCTCTTCATCAACTCAGGCAGCAAGTAATCATCCACGTGCAAACATACGTACACACACTTACTATATAGTATAGAATGGTATGGTATGGAATGGTATGTATGTGGCTGTGTATCTATGTGTGGGTGGGTGTGCTTAGCAACACTCAACACTCAACTCATTTGCTAAATCAAGCATGCACCACTTAAATTTTCATTAGACTGTTTTCATAGCCGCAGCAACCGCTGTCCCCGCCGCCTTCCCACCGCCAACCGTTTCGTTTCCTGTCTCAATTGCTTTCACTGCTAAAGGCATGTGCATGGTCTAAGGTGGAGTGGAGGAGAGTGGAGCTGTGAAGGGGAGGTGCGGAGGGCA